AGCGATAGACGCGAGCGACGGGGGAAACGGAAGGTGGGGATAGTTAGGGCGAACGGAAGTGACCTGAGTTCAGGTTTTGGAGGAAATGGAAGCTGGATAGAACGCAGCCGACAGCGGAGATCGCTACCGGGAGATGAAGAGATGGAACGCTACCGAAGGGACGACCAGAGAAAGGAGATTGATCATTACATTGAGAGAGAAACAGTTCGGCTAGGAAGGAGAAAAAAGATGGGACGTGGATTTATTTATTAAGGTTAATTATTTGAGTTTTTATATTATTTATAATTCCCTGCATACCCTTAATAACTAATAACTAATAACTCCTTAATAACTACCTAAAACCACAACAACCAATCATAATGCTTTAAGATCCTCCTTAAAAAAGGGGGGGTTTAAGGACCTGAAGTCAAGCCGGCGAGAGAGAAGGAATGGTGGGGGTGGGAAAGAAATCGGTCGACACAAGAAGATCGAGGGAGTGACAACGATTGTTGAGAGAGGTAGGGGGACGAATTATGTGGGATTGTGATATCTAATATGATCTTTTTTCCATTTATTGTAGTCACAACAACTATGTTGGAGTTAGAGATGACAATGAGGTGGGGTGGGTATCTCAACTGTGTTGGAACGATAATAACTTTAGAAAGGTCAAAAGTGGAGAAATACATGTAGAGATGATGCAAATCATTTTAGAACAGGTTGGGGCGTGACAGGTCGGAAGCAATAACCATGTCTCGCTCCACACTACTATGAGTTGGATAAAACCCACTCCAAACAGGTCAGGGCAAATCGGGTCGCACAGGTCAGGTTAGAAATTACCATCACTAGTCGAAGTAGACTTAAAAGTAAAAGACTCCTTCTCCCCCACATTGAATGAAGCGACGAGAGCTCCCTCCAATCGCCTCATGAGCCAAGCCTTGATTGTTGTTTTTTCCACCAGCGCAATGCAGGATTAATAATTCTAAGGTTAGATATCTAGAGGAGAAGTCTAAATCACAGTCAACAATTGGGCTTACCCAATTCTTGGTTGTCGTAAGATCTCACTGGGGGCCGGTTCACCGAATTTAGGGGTGGGCATTGGTGTAGTTCGCGAAACCGCATAATAAGTCTAACCGAATCACACTATTAAGCTTGTGGTCTACTATTTGATTTTTTATGTTGTTTGCGATCGTGACTCGCTAAACCCAGCAACTTAAGATACAACCAAGTATAATTGTAACTTGGGAGAGTAGTATAGTGGGTTCAGTTTTACTTATAACCCGGGTCCTATATGTACTAACTACTCGGTGAATTCTTTATTATCTAGCGGTTAAAGTGTTGTGAGGTTTGTTGCATGCAAAGCAGAGATAAAAATCATATAGATGTTTGATTTCCAAGTTCTAGAAAGACGACTCAGGTAAGCATCCCAAGTATGCAGTTAGGCCAAGTTGTAATCAGTGGTGGACTCAGGATTTTGGGATAGATGTGTCGACCCATAAAAAGAAATTCAAAATACAAATTAATTAAAATTGGTATATTATTTTATTCATAATATTCACCAATTTCATAATTTTCTGTAGTGAACCACGTCGAATTTTTATATTTTAAAAGATTTCTTAATTACATTTGTCCATTAGGTTGCAAATCAAACCTTTTTTTAAATAAACAACTAAACAATTATTCACAAATTGATCACCCAACTGACACCAAATATCATTCTCGATTAAGCTCATATATGAAAAATGTCATTTTGTAGCTTGCAGATGCAAGAGGTAACGTTAATACTAATTTAAGATGTGAAAGCTGGAATGGGAAGCTAGAAGGATTGCCACAAGCGTCAATGTGGAAGTTTGAATGAGAATGAGGATGTCACCGATGTCGACAATTGGAGGGTGGTGACAACTATCAACGTGGAAAAGCAATAACTAAACTAGAAAGCAAGTGGGAAATTAACTTTAAAAAAAATCTATGTAAGAAGCTACGGGAAAGAAGGTAAGGAATTCACTATCTAAATAATTGACTCAACCCGCTTATTAATCAATTTAATTCTCATTCAAATCACCAAGGTTATCTCTAAGCTGATAGCTATCTCTCTGAATACTCACTACATACTAAGTAGCCAATTAATTCTTTACTCTTGTATAACCAACTAATTAACTATCTAGACTGAAGTCTAATAAGTCCTATATTTACATATTTTAATAATATTATGAAAACAAAAAATTTGTAATCTAATAAGGTGTGTCGGTTAGGGGTGAACAAACACACCCGCAAACCGATCCAACTCACCCGTATTTATCGCTAAAATGAGGGTTTTGGGTTGGGTGGGGGTTTTATTTTGTACAACTCGCCTCTTTTGGGTTGGTTTGGATTTTGGATTACACAACCCATAGAACTTGACCCAACCCGTGTTCCACCTATTGGTATGAGTTCGTATCTAAAAAATATTTATGTCGTATGTAGCCATACCTATGAGAAAATTAAGATATTTTGCCATGTTTTTCTCTCATGGTCTCCCTAATCTAATGCATTCTTTGAATTAAAGTTTAGACATAAATTTAATGTAGCTATGATTCACGTAATCCTTTTTCTTGTGTACAATTTTAATAGAATAACATATTATGGATGCGTTCATTTATAACCTTTTTAGCCTATTTCAACAAATGCGGTGAAAAAAACTAGACATAAGTTGAAGTAAATCACATTTTATTAAAATTCAAACAACATTTGTGAATTTTGATACCTTTCACCTTGGTTTATTAGTTTGAAATTTTAATTAGTTATAACATATTTTTATGGTGTCGAATAATTATATATTTTGTGTTGGGATGGGTTTTTATTTAAAAATATCGCCAACCCGACCCAAACCAATTAGAAACAAACCGTAAAATATATTTTTTTTTGGGTAGGTTTGGATTTTATATTTTCCAATCCGTAGTGCATGGGTCGGGTTATTAAAATGGCTAAACCCGGACCACCTGACTCATATACACCCGTGTCGGTTACAATTATCGAAGGTGTTCGGAGGGCCCATGTTCGAATTTTGTATACCAAACAATATGAGTTCCTCACAAAAATTTCTAACGAAGGTGTGTCGGGTGACACACCTCCCTTGAAGGTGGGTTTGCCTCTGGTTTTTATTCACTCAATCCAATTAGTTGATATTAAACTACGGAAAGTCCTAAGAGAATCTGGAGTCTTGACTAAAGTTCACCAGATCCTCTTGAATAGAATACCCGGTGGGATACCATCCTCCACCAAAATAAACTACCAAGGTAATTCAAACAGACTTCTTCTACTGGGTTCAAACTCGAGTATAGAGCAACGAATCGATTGACTCTCATACAATCGATTCACTACTTCCAATACAGGTTACTCTATTGACCTATTTAGAGACTATCTTTCTAGGTTAAAGCAGGAAACATACAAGTGTGATCAAGACTCATAGATTTCTGAATAATGCATCAATTGAATATATAATCATCAATGTCATGGAAATGGGTTCATACAACTGCTCCTAACATACAAATCTAGGGTTCTTCATACCCAAGTGGAATTGGAGTTTACTCCATGGAGAGAAAGGAAAACACAATGCTGGAGATTTTCATCATCGTGTAGATGAGGGGAATCGCCTCCAGATCATCATTCGGTGCTAGATCCACGAGGAAGGAATCAAGCTCCAATGGTCTTTGGTGGCTCAAATTGACTTCCTCGAGGGTGGTTCTTCCTCACTTGTTCTCAGAAGTAAAAAATAGGATCCTTGCAAATTTGCTCGAGTATGCCATTTATATGATGGAGATCCGCGAGTTACAACCAGAGTTTCGTTCGTAACTCCCTTCTTCCGCCTATAACTGGTGCTAAAATGTTTTCGTGTTTTCTCATCTTAAATTAAGAGTTACGATTTCCTTTGCCAAGTTTCGAGTGTGGCCGTAACTACAATGAAGAGGTCGTAACTTTGAGGATGCCAGGCGACCGTAACTCTCTGTCCCTGGCTGTAACCTTGAAACAACCCTCTATTTCTTCATTGGGAGTTACGGGCCAGGTCTTAACTTTGAGGTCATGGTCGTAATTCCTCCCTGGTCAGTTGTAGACGATCTCCACACTTTCTGAAACTTGCTCAAAAGTCCCCATTTACGTTGCAAGACCTGAAACATCATAAATGCACACAACCTAGAGTACAACAAGTTTAAAATGAAAGAACATGACTCAAAACGCTCAAGAAATGAGGGAACAAATATGTGTAATTACGGCGTTATCAAATCGGTTCAGACTGAATCTGTCAAGTATGAACCCATTAGATGATGAATTTTTATATTTATGTGTTCTTAGTTATTATTCTTTTAGATTATTGTTGACCATCAAGTTTGAATTTATTAGATGATGAATTTTATGCTTCCATATTAGAAATATGTAATTTCTTGAAGTTTCTAATTATTATTTGGTAAATATATTTTATTAGTCAAACCTTTGATTTTAGCTAAAATGTTAACTTTTCATTCGGTCAAACTTTAGTTGACTCTGATGTGATCAATTTTAGTTGACTTGGCAAAAAGTCAATCATTTGACTAGCCATATGGATATATATTAATTAATTTTTACTATTTAAAATATATTTAAAAAAATATCATAACAATACCCTCTCCTTATCCCTTCCATTATCACGTCTCCTTCAAAGAAAATCCAGAGTCCGAGCAAATGAAAAAGAAAGGATCGGTTAGCTTGCTAGCCCCTCTAAGGGTTGGAAAAATGACACCCCTATTAATTATAGTTATTTTTTGTATTATATTTGTGTTGCATTTAATAATCTTTGGGAATTAAAAACCGATATTGATTACATTCATTTTTTGAACTACCATTGTACTGATAAACTATCATTGCATTGTACACTGAACTCATGAATGACATTCCTTTATTTGAACTATCATTGCATTAATATAACTACTATTGCACTGATACAACTAACATTTCACTGAAAAAAGAAAAGTAATTTTAATTCAGACAGATTATTATATACAAATCAAATTAATTACCTTAAAAATTTATAATTAATAGGGGTTGTCATGCTATCTCACCCATTAAAAACTGACTTGCATGGATAAATTCATTTCCCAAAATCTTAAATCAAGGACCGATTTTGGATCTATAGTGCGCCGCCAGCATCCTCTCCCTAGCGACATTTTGGGGCTCTAAGGGCAGATATGCACAGCTGCACTGGTAGGCAGGTAGGTCAATCGGACGGAGGGTAGACGACATGGGCAACTGCGATTAGGGAGATCTTGATTGTGTAGTTTCACTATGTATACTGATTCACTTCCTTGATTGCGATCAAAAGATGTTTCTCACAGCAATTAAGTTGTGCAAAGGTCAATTTCAATTTAAAAAAAAAAGAGTTTACAGAAGACCTAAGCTTGATTCAATCTAGAATGAACAACAGCAAATTGAATCAATTCAGTTCTGACAGGAAGAAGAGATGCAAGCAGGCAAGACAGACGCTATGCCCAGATAAGATTGAGTACCTGACCGAAGGTCCCGACTCAATCTATCTAGACACAAAACACGACCCAGACCTAGACTCCCAAAGAGCTAGCACGCTCTTACTGAGAAAAGGAAACCGTGCCTTTCTTCTTCCTGGCGAGCTCCTTTAAATAGATTTCTGGTTCGATCATCTCTTTCTTCTTCTTCAATGTTGTTGCCGTTGGAATCGAGTCTTGGCGAGGAGATCGAAGCTTGGAACGATGAGAGAGATTGAGAATCTCTTTTTTGTGTTGCTTCGATGATAGTGGAAGGGATGAAGGTGAAGACGCAATCTGTTGTTCTTGACGACATCGTTTAGGGCCGGAAATTGGGTGGGCTCAATTTGACTTTGCTGTGGGGACTTAGTCCAGGCCCAACAATCTCCCCCTGCGTCAAACCTTGATCCCTGCAGTCATTGAGACATTATCGAAGTATCTACATGATGAAATCGTTTCAAATCTTTAGCAGATAGAGAACAAGAGATGGTCATCTTGAGCACACAACTTGAGTAAATAGAAAACACATCTATGTTTATTGATTTCAACAGCACACACCAGCTAGACCATTATGGTCTTTTAATCAAGAAGAAGGGACACGCAAGCTAGACCATTATGGTCTTTTAAACATAGCAGAAAAACATACTAGACCCTTATGGTCATTAAAACATACTAAATTTCCAGAATTCAAAATCCTCTTTATTTAATCTAGAGTCTTCTCAGACAGTCATGTTCTGATTATTCTCTAGTTGGCTACCCCTGAGTTTGATCCTCCTGATAGTCAGTTGATTCTTTCAGAGTTGCAGCATCCTCCCCCTGAGTTGCAGGTACCCCTTCACCATCCATTAATTCCTTTTCAAGGTCTTCAGCAAATAGCTTGATGTATTTCTCAGAAAGAGATTCAGGTTCCAGTTCTGCTTCCTCTTCCTCAAAATCAATGATTAAGTTCTTGCAGACAGAAGAAGAGGACTCCCCTAGTTTTCGAGTTTTTGACGATAGCTTGGAGAAGGGTTTAGGTCTTTTGGCTGCGGGGTCAAGTAGAGTCTCTCCCCCTTTCGAAGTGAGAGGATCAATCCTTATATAGGAAAGGACAGCAAGAGCTGGAATTGATACAGAGGTTTCGACTGTGGAGAAACCATCGAGTGATATTCCCAGGTTTGAGATCAGAAGAGAGATAAGGCCACCATAGGGAAGACGACCCCCTAGATGAGCCTCAGCACTTCGAACAATTGACCCAAATAGCAGCTGGCAATAGTCGATTTTGCGACCTGTGAGAGCATTGGATAGGATCCAGAGATCAATTTTGGTAACAATGTGATGACAGCTGGAGCGAGGAAGAAAGAAGTGGGTGATAAGGTAGTGAAGGGTGCGCAGAGATGGGTTTAGATCAGCGGTGGTGACGGTTTCATGAGCAGCTACAGGACGCTGAGCAATGCGAGAGTATTCGATAACATGATCAAAATCATAGAAGAGGAACTCATCCTCATGAGCCAAAGGAAGTGGTCCTCCAGTAGGGAAATTTAGTAGAGATCCTATGGCTTCAGCAGTGAGTGATATAAAATACCCGTTCACTAGAGTAGTGAGTTTACGAGTTGTGATCCCTTGGCAGTCTAGGTTAGCATAAAACATGCGAACAGGGAGTGGGCAGGCTGCTAGAGGAGGATAGTGCATAAGGAATTCCCACCCAAGGTTTCTGATATAAGGAGTGATGTCAACTCCATAGGTTTTGAATTCGAATAAGTCTATGGTAATGGGATCAGATAAACGACGAGAGGCGAAGAATTCCTTGAATCGGTGAAGATTGAAATCTACAGGCTCATTGAAAGTTCTTCCTACATAGGTCACTATAGCTCCAGGAATATTGGATGAGGTGAAGAGATCAGTCATGGTTTGGTAGGGGGGCACGAGGGGATTTAGGTGATTGAGTACACTGGGGGTCAAGAGGGGGGAATATATAGAGAGGCAGAAGGGAAAGGGTCACACAGAGAATATTGGAAATTACAGTTTATGGAAAACTAAACCATCACATGCATGCACAGGCACTTATTGCAAACAGAAACAAATTGAGTAAGATAAATTTATTGATTCTAGCATAAAAAAGTAAAGGAAGGGTAGCACCTGGTTTAGAGAATCCGTTGGATTGACTGTAGAGACTACAGGCCAGCTCATTACTCAGGCGCATGAATCGATCATAGGAGAGTGCTTTGGTAAATATGTCAGCTATTTGAAAATCAGTTGATATAAAGTTTAACTCTATATGCCCTGCTTGTATTATATCTCGAATAAAATGATGTTTTACCTCAATATGTTTCGTTCTACTATGATAAACAGGATTTCTAGACATACATATCGCACGCGTATTATCACACAGAATAGGAATTTTTTCAAAGGTTAATCCATAGTCATGAAGTTGAGACTTTAACCAAAGAATTTGAGTACAACAACTCCCTGCAGCCACATATTCTGCTTCAGCAGTTGAAAGGGCCACATATCCTTGTTTTTTGCTTGACCAAGACACAAGACATTGACCAAAGAATTGACATGTACCACTGGTGCTTTTTCTGTCAGTGATACTGCCAGCAAAATCTGAATCTGAGTACCCAACAAGAGACAAGGACTCTGACTTAGGATACCAAAGACCAAGATCAACAGTCCCTTTTAAGTATCTAAAGATTCTTTTAACTGCAGTAAGGTGACTTTCTTTGGGTTGATGTTGAAATCTAGCACATAAGCATACACTAAACTGGATGTCAGGTCTACAGGCAGTTAGGTAGAGCAATGAGCCAATCATGCCTCTAAATTTCTTTTCACATACTGGGGTACCAGGTTCATCATAATCTAGGTGAGTGTTAGAGGCAATAGGGGTCTTGCAGGGATTAACATTCATTAAGTTGGAACTTAGATAACATGGATTGCAGGTACTTAGTCTGGTGAATGAATGTACCCTGATTAGTCTGGTGAATTTGAAGACCTAGAAAGTAGTTTAGTTCTCCTATGAGGCTCATTTCAAACTTGTTTTTCATAGCTAGACAGAACTCATTACACATATCAGGATCAGTACTACCCAAAACAATATCGTCGACATAAATTTGAACAATTAAAGAGTGATTGTTTTTTCTTTTGATAAACAATGTTTTATCAACACCTCCTTGACAAAACTCTTGAGAGATTAAAAAGGAAGTAAGCTTCTCATACCAAGCTCTAGGAGCCTGTTTGAGACCATAAAGAGCTTTGGATAATTTAAAAACATGATTTGGGAATTCAAAATCAATAAAGCCAGGAGGTTGTTCAACATACACATCTTCCTGTATTTCACCATTCAGAAAAGCACTCTTAACATCCATTTGGAACAGTTTTATATTCATAGAGCTAGCATATGCACACAAAAGACGAATAGATTCAAGACGAGCAACTGGTGCAAATGTTTCATCGTAGTCAATGCCCTCCTCTTGATTGTATCCTTGGGCAACTAGTCTAGCCTTGTTTTTAATAATAAATCCAAGTTCATCAGACTTGTTTCTAAATACCCATTTAGTTCCAATAACAGTTGAATTTAAAGGACGAGGAACAAGCTCCCAAACTTTTAATCTAATGAAGTGAGATAATTCCTCTTGCATAGCAATCAGCCATTATTCATCAAGAATTGCCTCTTTATAATTTTTGGGTTCAATTAGGGAGACAAATGCATACTGACCTGGGATGTGCTTACCTCTGGTGTGGATGGGATCTGATAGATTACCTATGATAATGAGGGGGGATGCCTTTTTCTGATATGAGCAGGGGCTTCAAGGTTTCCAGGCTCACTATCAACTTGATTAGTTGAGATTGTCGAAGAAGAGGATGCTGTAGACACAACATTTTCTTCTTGTATATGTTCCCCACTTGTTCCTGTCTCAGAAGGAAAACTAAGGGGCAGGAAGTCATAGTCACTGATGTTAGATGGTAATAGTAAAGAGGGATGGGTTTCATCAAATCGAACATGCACTGATTCTTCTACTTTTCTTGATTTTTTATTAAAGACTCGGTAGGCTTGCCCTTTGGTTGAGTAACCAAGAAAGATCCCTATATCTGATTTGGCATCAAACTTTCCAATTGAGTCTTTGGTGTTCAAAATATAACATTTAGTACCAAAAGGATGAAAATAGGAGATTTTGGGGGGTTTTCCTTTTAGAATTTCGTATGGTGTTTTATTCACTATCTTGAGAATAGTGGATCGATTAATCAAGTAACAAGCTGTATTGACAGCCTCTCCCCAAAGAAATTTTGGACAGTTGAACTCTAGGAGCATGGTTCTTGCAGTTTCAATGAGTGATCTATTCTTTCTTTCCACAACCCCGTTTTGTTGTGGAGTCCTAGGTGCAGATAAGGTGTGAAGAATACCTAGCTTGTCACAGAAGCAACTGAATTCATCATTGATGAACTCACCCCCATTATCACTTCTAATAGATTTTAATACGTAGTCAAATTGTTTTTGCATTAGGATAACAAAGGATTTGAATTTAGAAAAAGCTTCATCTTTAGAAGAAAGGAAATACACCCAAGTGTATCTAGAAAAGTCATCAACTAAGACAAAAACATATGATTTCCCTCCAAGGCTTTGTATATTGGTAGGACCAAATAGATCCATATGAATCAGCTCGAAGACTGATGATGTAGTGATGTCTGGTTTAGTTTTAAATGATTTTTTGCAGTGTTTACCAAGAATGCATGCTTCACAGGTAAATTTATCAGAGGCTTTAATAGTAGGTAGGCCTCTAACTAGATTGAGTTTGGATAATTTAGCGAGTCTGGACATGCTCATGTGCCCTAACTTTCTATACCAGGAAACTGCTGTATCAGATACAGAACTTAAGCAAATATCTTCAGAGAGATCAAGGGTTGAAAGATCAATAGTATACACATTATTTATCTTTTCTCCTTTAAAAATCATAGAGTTATCAGAGATACGTTCAATGATGCAGCAAGTGGGGTCAAATATGACTCTATAGGTTGAACCACAGATCTGACTTATTGACAACAGATTGTGTTTCAAACCATCAACATATAGAACATCTTCAATAATGAGAGAAGAATTACTACTAATGGTTCCTTTTCCTACCACAGAAGCACAGTTATTATTTCCATAGAATACTTTACCTCCCTTTTTCGGATTAAGATGAGAAAACAGATCTTTGTTACCTGTCATATGGTGAGAGCATCCAAAATCTAAATACCAGATGTTAGCACCAATTTTATTCTGAAATGAGGGAGAAGCTTAATTAGAGGATTTAACCACCCAAACAAGTTTGGGTTTGGGTTTCCATGAATAGCAATGAACATTATAATGGCCAGATTTGCAACAGAATGTGCAAAAGGGAGGATAATCTCGATGGCCAGAATACTGTTTAGATATAAATTTAGTCTGATAATTAGTTCTAGACAGTCTAACTGAGTGATTCAGTTTTGGGGTATTCCACTTGAGAAATTTGTGAAAGTAGTCTAGTTTTCTTCTCATGTCAGTATTTTCAGAGTTTAGTTTGGCAATTTGGGAGTCCTGATTAATTTGAGCTTTATGTTGAATGTCAACAAGCTTTTCCAGTTTCTTGACCTCGTTTTCTTTTTCATTTAGTTGAGTAACAGTGAGACAGTATTTACTTTTAAGCAAATTGCATTCATTTTGTAGATTTGTTAAAGCATGAAGAAAGAAGTCTTCATTTGATGGTTCAGACACATGTTCTGAAGAGGAGTCAGACCATACCTTTTCATCTTCAAGAGATTCCTCTGTGTTGGAATTTACCCCCATGTACGCCACAATCTCGGTTTCATCTTCAGAGCTGTAGTCACTCCATGAGGCAGTAATGGCCCTTTCTTTCTTTTTGTTCATTGGACAGTTTGCTCTTACATGACCTGTTTTACCACACTTGAAACAGATAGTAGAATCAGATTTTTCATTAGAGTTTTTATTCTCTTTGGGACCTGATTCAGGTCTGCTGGATGCAAATGATTTTTTGTCATTTGATCCACCAGAATTGTGTCCAGAAGGCCTAGAGTAACTGTTGGTCATGTTTCCAAATGATCTAGGTGAATAGTTATTATCATGACTTCTTCTTTTTGAATTCTGATCATGCTTAAATTTCATCATTCTTTGAAGCTTTTTTCTGGTTAGAGCGAGTTCATTCTCAAACTCATCATCCAGCTTTTCAGTTTCATCAAGAATAGAAGTTTTGAAAGCTATAGATTTGTTCTTTTTGTCATGCAGGGAGTTCATTTGTTTGAGAACTTCCTCATGACTGAGAAGAGATCCAATTAAATTTTCAAGAGATAAAACATTTAGGTCCTTAGCCTCTTCAATGGCAGTTCTTTTAGCCATCCATTCAAGTGGAAGAGATCTAAGTACTTTTCTAACAAGTTCTTTACTGCTGAATGATTTTCCTAATCCCTTGAGACGATTTATAAGGGTTGAAAATCTCTTGTCCATTTCAGAAATGGATTCACCAGAAAGCATATCAAATGTTTCATATTCTTTTAACAGCAAATCTATTCTTGTTTCTTTAACTTCTGAGGTTCCTTCATGAGTTGTTTCAAGTATAGACCAAATTTCTTTTGCAGATTCACATTTATTTACTCTTTCTCCTTCATCTTCAGATATGGCAGAAAGTAGAATATGCATAGCCCTAGAGTCTAGTTGAGCATTTTTCTTTTGTTCATCAGACCAATCCTCCTCATCGTCTTCTTTCATGTCAATTGGCCCATTTCGGACAATTGCCCATAATTCACAATCGATTCCTCGAAGGTAGAGTCTCATTCTTTTTTTCCATACAGAGTAATTTGAACCAGAAAACCATGGAGGATTTGAGCTAGTGGGAAATGAATTAGATGACATAGTGAAGATAAGGAGCACAATCTCGGCAACTGTTAAGTTCAACGAGAAGGGGGCTCTGATACCA